AACACCCATGCCGCATCTTCTGGATCGCATACCTAAACCGTCTTCCAAGTATGTTTATTTGTGCTTCTACTAACTTCCTTGGGTTGCTTGTAACGCCGTACCCGTTCAGCGGTGCTCCTGTTTATCCGATGGGATTGGTCCCGAATAGCTCTGCATATGGAGAGAATGGAGGAATGTGTGAGTTAATGTTGCACGAAGTCTCTGTGATTTATTCTTTTATCTCAATATTTTTGCATACGTCCAAATTCTAGTGATGGGAAACCGCATGAGAAACATGGCCGATGGACCTCGCCGTGTTCTACCGTTTCCTGGTGCTTCTGTTGCCTTTGAACCGGCAGCAAACCATAGAGGCAGTGTTCAACTAATCAGAACAGATAGAGGCAAGTCGTCAATTATTTTTCTGATACATGAAGTTTCAAAGGTTATTTTTAGATCTGAGTCTACCAGTGGTGTCGAATCCAACTGAGCGACAAACAGTACCAGCAAATACGCAGGTGATGCTTATCCGCAGCGGTGACGGTATATTCCTTCGACTGAGTAATGGACTGCTTTTGAACGCACAGAACTCTGTGTTTGATTCTTGTAAGTTTTTAAAAATATTTGCTTCTTGCAAAGAGATATCGTTTGGGTTATCAACAAGCTTCCTCTTTCCCACGGAGCCCTTTATATTGTTCTTTCTCTGCAAAATTGATAAAATCGGTGGAAGCACCCAGCAAATCTCAGCAAAAAGTAGCCCAAAACCGTGTCCGGGGTAGGAGACATCTGTATGCAAAGTTTCAGCTTAATCAGTTCAGCCGCGCAAGTTTTTATAACGTACATACCCTCCAAACAGACTTTTATATATAAATACAAAGATGAAGAAACGAATATCATTATAGTCCCACGCCAGCCACCTCCGGTCGCAACGATCGCTCCCGAATCACAACGGCTTCGACTGCCGCCTCCTCTGAATTCCACTCCGGAGATTATCGAACTAGATTGAAATGTAGCTTAATCTTGGCATAACTCGAAATTATCCGGTAGAGACTCTCATACGCTCTTAAAACTTTAAGAT